ATATATATATATACATATATATACATACATACATACATACATGCATAATTGGCTCTCTATTCTCCTCCACTGATCTATGTGTTTATTTTTGTGCCAGTACCATACTGTTTCAATTACTGTAGCTCTTTGTAGTCTATCTGGAAATCTGGGATTGTGATACCTCCAGCTTTGCTTTTCTTTCCCAAGATGGTTTTGGCTATTCGAAGTAGAACAGAACAGACAGCCCAGAAATAAACCCACAGTTATATAGTCGATTAGTCTTCAACAAAGGAGGCAAGAATATACAATGGGAAAAAGACAGTCTCTTTAACAAATGCTGCTGGGAAAAAGCTACATGCAAAAAAAATGAAACTGGACCATTTCTTACACCATACACGAAAGAGATTAAAAACCTAAATGTGAGACCTGAAACCGGAAGAAAACATAGGCTAATTTCTTTGACATCATCTGTAGAACCATTTTTCTAGATATGTCTCCTCAGGCAAGGGAAATAAAAGCAAAATTAAACTACTGGGACTACGCCAAAACAAAAAAGCTTCTGCACAGCAAAGGAATCCATCAATAAAACAAAAATAAAACCTTGGAAGAAGATATCTGCAAATGATATATCTGTTAAGGATCTGATTTCCAAAATACATAACTTAAACAACTCAGCACAGAAAAAAACAAGCTGATTAAAAACTGGATGGAGGACCTGAATAAACATTTCTCCAAGGAAGACATATAGATGGTCAAGAGACACATGAAGAGATGCTCAACATCACTCATCATCAGGGAAACTCAAATCAAAACCACGAGATATCACTTTACAACTGTCAGAATGGCTAGACTCAAAAAAGAAATGACAGGAGTTGGTGAGAATGTGAAAAAGGAGCCCTCATATACTGATGGGGGGGGACATTAGGGGATAGGGGTGCAGCCACTATGGAAAACAGTATAAAGGTGACTCCAAAAAAAAAAAAAAATAGAACTACCATATGATCCAGTAATTCCATAACTTGGTATTTACTCAAAGAAAATGAAAACACTGAATTGAAAAGATATATGCACCTCTATGTTTATATATAAATGTAACATTATTTACAATAGACAAAATATGGAGGCAAGCCAAGAGTACATCGACAAATGGATAAAGAAGATGTGGTACACACACACACACACGCAATGGACTATTACTCGGCCATAAAAAGAATGAAATCTTGACATCTGCAACAACATGGATAGATGTAGAGACTACAGGGCTAGGTGAAAGAAGTCAAAGAAAGACAACTACCATATGGAATTTAAGAAACAAAAGAGACACAAAAAGAGACTCTTAAATATAGAGAACAAACTGGTTATTGCCAGAGGGGAGGTGGGTGGGGGAAAGAGATGAGATCACTGGGATCAAAGCAAAAATAAAACTCTCTATTTGAAGTCAATATGAGTGTCTATATAGAAAACCTCAAGAAATCTATAAAAAGAAAGAAAAAACCAACTGGAAGTAATAAGCAAATACAACAACATCACAGGATAAAAGTCAATATTAAAACGTCAACTGTTTTCCTATATCCAAATAAAGAACTGGAATTCCACAGGACACCTGGGTGGCTCAGTCAGTTCAGCGTCTCACCTGATTTTGCCTCAGGTCAGGGTCTCACAGTATGTGGGATCAAGCCATGGTTAGGCCCTTAGCTGACAGTGTGGAGCCCACTTGGAAATCTCTCTCCTTTTCTCTGCCTCTCTCCCTGACTCGTTCTCTCTCACTTTAAATAAATAAATAAACAAACACAAATAAAATGAAGAATTGGAATTCCAAATTTTCAAATGAATGAAAAAATACCATTTACAATAGTGCCAAAAAAAAAAGGTACTCAAGTATAAATATAACACAATATCTACAGGTGTTTGCAGAAAAACACAACTGATGGAAGAAATCAAAGATCTAAATACATGGAGAAATGTTCCATATTTCTAGGAAGAATGTTAAAATGTTCCATATTAATAGGAAGACTCAATATGGCTAAGATATCAATTCTTTCCAACTTAATCTATAAATTCAATGTGACTCAAATAAAAACCCCAGCTATTTTGGGGCACCTGGATGGCTCAGTCAGTTGAGTGTCTGACTCCTGATTTTGGCTCAGGTCATGATCCCAAGGCCACGAGATCGAGCCCCAAGCCCTGCTTGGGATTCTCTCTCTCCCTCTCTCTCTATCACTCTGCCCCTCTCTCCAGCTCACACACTATCTCTAAAATAAAACTTTAAAAAAATAATAAAATAAAAAATGTTTTAAAACTGCTATTTTGCAGATACTAACAAAATGACTCTGAAGCTTATATAGAAAGGCAAAGGATCTAGAACAGCCAACACAATGTGGAAGAAGAAAAATGAGAATTCACATCAACTGATCTCCAGATGTAGTATAAAGCTACAAGTATCCACAACAGTATGTTATTGCTGAAAGAGACACACAGGTCAATGGAACAAATGAGGGTCCAGGATTAGATTTACCAAAATACAGTCAAATAATTTTTGACAAAGGAACAAAGGCAATAAAAGAAGAAAAGATACTCTCAACAAATGGTGGTGGACAACTGGATACCCATGCAAAAGAAATGAACCTAGACAGAGACCCTACACCTTACACAAATATTAACTAAAGATGAATCAGAGATCTAAATGTAAGATGCAAAACCTTCTAGAAGAAAATATAGAACACAGGATATAAGAGAAAAATCTCTGTGCCCCTGGATTTGGTGATGAGCTTTTAGATACAAGAGAAAAAGCACATCCCATGGCAGGGGGTTGTGGGGGAGGGCAGGAAACATGGGCTGGGTGTTATTAAAAACAAAATCTGCTTGGCAAAAGGCATTTTCTAAGAAAATGAAAGGACAAGGCACAGACTAGGAGAAAATATTTGCAACACATATATCTACTAAAGGATTTGTATCCAAAAAATACAAAAGAACTCTTAAAGCTCAGTAAGAAAACAAATGACCCATTGAAAAATGGGCAAAAGATGTGAACAAACATATCACCAAAGACATAACGATAGCAAATAAACATATGAACAAATGTTCAATATCACCTGTTAGTAGGAAAATTCAAATTAAAACAAAAATAAGAGGTGCCTGGGTGGTTCAGTCGGTTAAGTGTCTGAGTCTTGATTTCGGCTTTGGTCCAATCTCACAGTTGGGGAGATTGAGCTCCGCATCGAGCTCTGAGCTGCTAGCACACAGCCTGCTTGGGATTCTCTCTCTGGCCCTCCCCTGTTCGCATGCATGCACTCTCTCTTTCTCTCTCTCTCAAAATAAATAAATGAATATTTTTCAAAAACCACACAAAAATGAGATGTCATGACACATTAGAATGGTTAAATCCAAAATAACGACAATACCAATTTCAGGTCCAGATGCAGAACAACAAGGATTCTGATTTGTAATTGGTAGGAATGGAGACGGATACAGCACCTTTGTAAAAATGGTTTGGCAGTTTCTTGCAAAGCTAAACATACATTACATAACTGACCCGGCAATTTCACACCCTAGCATCTGAAACCTTATGTCTCCTTAAAACCTACACGTGAGGGGCGCCTGGGTGGCTCAGTCGGTTGAGCATCCGACTTCGGCTCAGGTCACGATCTCGTGGTCCGTGAGTTCAAGCCTGGCATCGGGCTCTGTGCTGACTGCTCAGAGCCTGGAGCCCGCTTCGGATTCTATGTCTCCCTCTCTCTCTGCCCCTCCCCCATGCATGCTCTGTCTCTCTCTGTGTCTCAAAAATAAATAAAACATTAAAAAATTTTTTAAAAAAATTAAAAAAAAAAAACCTACACATGAATATTTCTAGCCCCTTAATTCATAAGGGCCCCGACCTGGAAGAATCAAGAGTCCAGGGGTTAACAACTCTGAAATCATGTACATGTACATGCATGCTCAAATTGAACTATCAAGTCAATAAAATCCATTTGATGTTAGCCAGATTCTCACTGTTAGAGTGGGAGACTACACACAAGCAAGGAGAGGTTAGAAAGCTCCATGTGGTAATGATTACAACAGGAGAAAACAGTGTGAACTAATACGTAGCCTACTGTAGATATAGATGGTTGCATACTGAAGTATTTATAGACTTGTGTATATGCATGGGTTAGTACACACATGTATTTCCTTGTTCAGTTAGCTGGGAGGGTCTACCAGCAATCATGCACCACTAGCAAAAGGCACACCTAGTCCCCCAGTCTTGGTTTCTAATACTGTGCTCCAATGAAAGGAACAAGAGCTATTTAGGAAAAATAGGGCAGAGACAGAGGGAGATACAGAATCCGAAGCAGGCTCCAGGCTCTGAGCTGTCAGCACAGAGCCTGACGCGGGGCTCGAACCCACAAACTGTGAGATCATGACCTGGGCTGAAGTCGGATGCTTAACCGACTGAGCCACGCAGGTGCCCCTGAATTTGCTACTCTTGACGTACTGCCCTCAATATAATTCTTGCCCACTTCTACTTTTTCGTGTTAAAAATATGAATCCTTACAAACTTTAGACATCTCGTTTTAAAACAAAGTGGGGGGGCGCCTGGGTGGCGCAGTCGGTTAAGCGTCCGACTTCAGCCAGGTCACGATCTCGCGGTCAGTGAGTTTGAGCCCCGTGTCGGGCTCTGGGCTGATGGCTCAGAGCCTGGAGCCTGTTTCCGATTCTGTGTCTCCCTCTCTCTCTGCCCCTCCCCCGTTCATGCTCTGTCTCTCTCTGTCCCAAAAATAAATAAACGTTGAAATAAATAAATAAATAAATAAATAAATAAATAAATAAATAAAAAAAACAAAGTGGGAATACACAAACCAAAAAACTCACCTGGGATCTGTTCATTTTCCGCTCTTAGTGAAGGAGGCAGAGCTGAGGGGAACAAGGAAGAAGGAAGTTAGGAGAGACTTGGCCTATCTTGCAGTTCCTGAATTTACCTGCCTACGCAACAGCTCCACATACAAGATACTTACGTGTCCATGTGTGGCTCCGATATATGTTGAGCTTAGACATGATACTTTTCACTGAGTGAATGTAAACATTTGTTTCTTATTGATTTATTACCAATTTAGGTTCTGTGACACAGAAAAATTAAAAACATGAGAAGATGAGTTTAACATAGAACAGTAACCTAAAGGAGGAAACACTATGGGTTTGTCAAAAAAAACTGATGTGGTGGGGAAAAATTAAAAACCTCAAGCCACATTGTTAATATTTTCCTGTTAACACCATTAATCCCTTGAGGTCAGAGAATCCAAGAAACCTCTGGAAAAAAGAGATGGGACTGTTTAAGGCAACGTAAAAAATGTTTAATGTTTGTTCTAACCTGCTTACAACTTTCAAAAGGTCTTTTGGTAACAAACTATCTTTGACTTCACAGTGGCACAATGGGCAGTGGCCCAGCCATCGGCAGACCTAACTTTTCACCGTGCTTCTGGCACTAACAAACTGCATAATCTCAGTCAGTCAGCTCCTCAGGCTCAATTTTTGCCTTCTCGCTTTTCAAATACGGTCAAAACAGACAACCCTACAAGAGACTTGCCTGCACTACCATTCTGTACGCCTGTAAGGTCAGGAAAGCGGGAACCTCGGCATCTTTCTAGATGCCATCAACAATGGGACATTGTTCGAGGGCAGCTCGCCTCCGGAAACAGTGAACAGAAAATGAGGGGAGAAGGGAGTGTTCAGAGAGGGGTGATGACAGAACTTCCTTAGCTATGGCTGGTGAACCTTTCATTCCCGACCATGCCCTCACAAACTCTCCAAAGAGGCGACGTTTCCTGTGCAGGCTGCGTGCCCACCCCTCTCAGCTCCAGCTCACCTCGCTCTTCTTAACTCTGTCCCAGACCTTCCACCGTCACACAGCCTTCGATGGCTTCAGGATACAGTCATGCTTATACATAACAAATAACAAATGAATACATAATAAATAATAACTTGGGATCTGGGGAATGTTAGAGCCAGGAAAGGGCCTTGGTGGCTAGCTAGTCCAGCCCCTTCCCTGTTCCATTGCACAAATGAGTTAACTGAGCAATGAAGGCCCTAGAGACTTGTCCACGCTCCAGCCGCTCGTATTACACACATAACAAACAAATACAATAGCAGCTAACAAAATGCGAGTGCTCAGAACAATGCAGTGCGGCAAGGATTCCGGACACCCACACTTTACAGATAAGGAGCCCCAGCCTCACGTCGGCTATTCGGTCAGAGCCCTTCATTTACATCAGAAGCCCTGCCTGGCTCACTCGTTCTCTCCTACGACCGCGCCCCTCCTTAGGTAGCCAGGCGCCTATAAGACGCACGCGCACACGTCACAACGTGAAGCGCGCACGCACGTCGCGCACGCGCGTTCACTCTTTTCCGCAGCCCCACCCCCTCCCCGTGGGCCCAGCGCACACGTCACGCACGCGCACTCCCCACCCGCGGCCGCACGACGGCGCAGCCCGCTTAGCGCTGGAGCTGGACACTTGCGGACCCTGCAAGCCGGAGAGCCCACGTTCCCACGCGGGACCCCGGTCCCTTAATCT